GTCTTCAAACAGTTTGAGAATATTTATTTTTCAAATGTCAACCGAGGTCAGAAATCCGACAAGAATGATGGATCTCGCAAAAATTTCTTGTAGTAAAGTTGTTACCAAGTTGCCCCCCATTTTGTATGACTTGTCGAAAAGGTTTGGACATGTTGGGTGCACATTTGTCAACTAAACAAAACTCATCGTCAAATCAATTTAAGAAAGGCAACCTGCTCAACGAATGCTTGGTTAAGAATCACACCAAAGGACATGGCAAGAATTTGAAAAGCTGGTCAACTATTTAGTGGTAAACTAGCTACTTGACTGTCTGTCTGTCAGGGTGTGTATTGATACTGCACAAAGGAACAATGCATGCACTGCATGCAAAATTTCACAGAGTGGAATAAAATAACAATTTAACACTTAACATTACCACTTTGTTTTTCTCAGAAAAAGATCACAGGTTTGTAAACTGTCTGTGTCAGCACTTTTTCATTTCGTTTTCTCATGGTAAAAATCCCACCTTGCACCAAAATTCATCACAACAAAGAGTGCAATGTTATTCTCTTCTCGGTCAAAAGGTGCCTTACCCAATTCCAATGAAGTTGGGACATTGTGTATAATGTAAATAAAAATAGTATATCATGATTTTTTAAATTCATTCTCAACCTATGTTAATTTGAATGGAGTACAAACACAGTATTCTATTGTTCAAACCGAGGAACATGATTGTTTTTTGTGCAAATATTCTGATTTTGATTTTGATGTCTGCAATACATTTTCAAAAAGATGGTACTGGGGAAACAAAAGACAGGGAAAGTTGCGGAATGCTAAAAAAACAAAAACAAAAACAAAAAAAAAAACACCTGTTTGAAACATTCTACAGTTCCATCCATCCATTTTCTGTTTCACTTCATCCCCACAAGGGTCGCGGGGGGTGCTGAAACCTATTCCACCCTGAACCGGTTGCCAGACAATCGCAGGACGAGCAACCATCTGTGCTCACACTCACACCCAGGGACAATTTACAGTGTTCAATGAGCCTGCCATACGTTTTTGGGAATGTGGGAGGAAACCGGAGTACCCGGAGAAAACCCACGCAGGCCCGGGGAGAACATGCAAACTCCACATAGGAAGGCCGGAGCCAGGATCGAACCCACGCGCTAACCACTGGACCACCGGGCCGCCCCAGTTTAAGTTTTCTACAGTTGAAAAGGTTAATTCGAAGCAGGTGAGTATCATGATTGGGTATAAAAGTATAAAATTTTCCAAAAGGCTCAGGTGTTCACAAGCAAGAATGGGGCAAAGTTCACCATTTTGTGAACACGTGTGAGCAAACAGTCCAACAGTTGAAGACCAATTCTTCTCAAAATACAAATGCAAAGAATAAGGGTATTTCACCATAAGGTCCAAAATACCATTAACAAATTGAGAGAATGTGGAGAAATCTCTGCCTGTAAGCTGCAGGACAAAAAAAAAAACAAAACTGAATGCCAGTGACATTCGATCCCTCAGTTGGCACTGCATTAAAAACTGGCTCATGAACACATTAGAAAATCATTGTCATTCATCACTACATCTACAAATGCAAGCTAAAACTTTACCATGCAAAGCAAAAGCCATATATCAACAACACCCACAAATGCCACGTGGTAAAGTGTTCTGTGGTCTGACGAGTCCACCTTTCAAATTGTTTTTGGAAATTGTGGATGTGGTCTCCGGGCCAAAGAGGAAAAGAAGCATCCAGACTGTTATGGAGGCCAAATTCAAAACCCAGCATCTGTGATGGTATGGGGCTGTGTTAGTTCCAATGGCATGGGTAACTTCCACATCTGTGAAGGCACCATTCATGCTGAAAGGTACCGTACATACAGGTTTCGGAGGAACACGTGCTGCCTTCTAAAAAAAACGTTTTTTCGTGGACGCATCTGCTTATTTCAGCAAGACAATGCCTAGACACATTCTGCACATGTCATAACAGCTTGGCTTCATCATAAAAGAGTGCACATAACTAGACTGGCCTGCCACCAGTTCAGACGTGTCTCATATTGAAAATGTACACCACGTTATGAGGTGCAAACTATGACAACGGAGACCCTGGATTGCAGAGCAATTGAAGGTGCACATCATACAAGAATGAGAAAGAATTCTACCTAAAAAGCTTCTACAATTAGTGTCCTCAGTTCCTAAACGCTTATTGAGTGTTGTTAAAAGGAAAGGTGATGGAACACATGCCCGTCCTACCTTTTCTAGAATGCGTTCAAGGCATCAGATTTAAACTGAACAGATAGTGACAAAAATAAACAAAGAAACTAGATACTGTCGCTCTAATATGCTGTTTCAGCTTTTTTGCGCTCAGAAAAGATGACGGACTGCTAACAAAACATGTCAGCACATACTGAATGTAATATGCACAGGAAAATCGTATGATTTTTTTAACACAGTTTTTACACCTGATACCCTTGCCCCAATGCCAGCCACACATTATTACCAGTGCCTGTGAAAGGTAGTAGTTGGGTATTGGGAGACTGACCAGGAATTCAACCTGCGCTATCAACCAGTAAAAATACACACACGTAAACAAAAATTTTAATAAAAGAAAAACCCAAAGCGGTTACAGAAACAACTTGTATCTGACAATTCTAATGAACACTGCTTTTGAATTGTGGTTCAACGGAATTATTTAAAAATAAAAAAAAATAAAAAAAAAACATGAAATAGGCCTGAACAGAAATGATGGTACCTAAACCCTTGAAAATAATTCGATGTTTAACCAGTGTCTGTCCTCTAATTAGAATCACAGGTGTCTTCAAATTCATGAAGTCAGTCGGTTTATTTAAAGGGTGACAAGTTGTCATTGTGTTGTTTGGTGATATAGTGTGTGGCCAACCTCCCTGGTCATGGCCACAGGAGGAAAGTTGATGACAAATTGAAGATAATACAAATGGTCCAACAAACAAAACATCAGATATTAAAGCTGAAGTCCAAAGTCAAGGTGCATCAGTGTTAGATGGCACCATCATTCGGTGTTTGACCCAAAGTGAACTTCATGGGAGACAACCAAGGAAGACACCGCTGTTGATGCAAAAGAAACATACAAAGGAGAGAACACTGTCCCGACAGTGAAACATCTCACAGGTTATGAGGGGTCTTGCAGCAGGATAAGATAAAATCAGCCAAGAATGGCTAAGTCCTCAAAAATAGGCGCAGATGAGCCCTGATCTAAATTCTATTGAACATCTGTTGAAGGAGCTGAAACATACTGCCTGGGGAAGGCACCCTGGAGTAGTTTGCTTTTTTTCAGAGTGGGACAAAATACACGCTGAGATGTGAAGTCTCATGGAAAGTTACATAAATCATGTGTTTGCAGTGATTAAAGGTTGTGCAACAAAATATTACAGTGGAACTCCTCTACAACGAAATCATGTTTGCAACCAGAAATTTTTCACAACAGGGGACTTTTCACTATAGCAAATTTTATCTCAGATGTAAACACAAACACACACAAAAAACGTATGTGTACTCTTTATTTTTATTCCAATATCGCATAAATATGAGCATACACTTCTTTGACACTTCACATAGCCAGCATAGAAAGAAAAAAGGGAAAGAAATTGCAACATTTATGATCAGCATTCACTTTCACTTACATCAATTTCTTGCATAATGTCTTTTACGTTGCTTCCGCCCTCTTTCATCTTTATTACTTTTATCCCGTCTTCAAGTGCTAAAGCTTTTCTTTTCCTAACTCCTTGTGAAGAGCCTTGGTCTGCAAAGGTCTGTTTTGTAGCCATTTTATGCCACGCAATGCAAGGTTTGTGCCGTGTCTGAAACTACTCGTGAAATTTCTAACCACGTGCTAACAAAAACAAATACTTCCTGTACTACTGCGCATGTGTAAACCAGTGTGGTGGTTACTGTTGCCGTTTCCTTGCCAACCAGTAGGAGTTGCTGTGGCAGGCTGAGGTTGGATTAGACTTTTGCGGTCGGCTCGTTTTCGTTGTAGTGAACCTCATTGCGAGGCAAGGGTGGTGAAAAGCATTTCGTATTACGCAACAGGGGGACTTTTCGTTGTAGCGGGAAGCAGAAAAAAAGGGGATGGCTTTCATGCATGAAGATTTTTTCACAATAGGGGGTATTTTCGCACATGTAGGTTTCGTTGTAGAGGAGTTTCACTGTAAATTAAAGGTACCATCGTTTTTGTCCAGGACTGTTTCATGAGTTTTACTGTTTTGTTTTGTTTTGTTTTAATCATTCTGTTGAGCCAGAATTGAAAAGAAGTCATTTGTTGTAGATGTAAGATCGGGCCGCCCGAGCCAGAGCCCGACACGACCCGACCCGAAATTCGGGTCGGGTCGGGCCCTAAAATGTCAATCATTGGTTCGGGTTCGGGTCGGGTCGGGCTTCTCTCTCGCTTGCTTTTTTTTTTTTTTTTTTAATAAAATAATTGTAGCGGACACTAGGACCATGCTTCTCACCCGGCCAGCAGGCATACAGTAGGGGGCGTGTTTATGTGAATGTCTACCAAAAATACTCACAAATAAAATATGAAATGTCGGGTTTGCTTCGGGCTCGGGCCTGCAAATCAAGCTAAGTGATTGGGCTCGGGTCGGGCTTTAATACCCTCGGGCCCGGTCGGGTCGGGCTCGATTTTTTAGGACAGATCTTATCTCTAATTTGTTGATCTTCATTACATGTTAATTTAATCTTACTTTTAGATTCGGTCTGATTCATGTTTCTGTGTCCACTCTAGGATTTACTTTCATTAATCAAGAGTTACCAATAATTTTGTCCATATGTGTACACCTTTTGCAGGACGTTGCGGACCGGGTAATTTGGGCCACAGCACAGTTAATTTACTACACACCTATCCCACTGAACAGAACTAATAGGAGGGACAATAATTGAACGGTGAGAATGTGAAAACGCTATGAGATGCCAAGGATATACTGTATAAGGAAGCAAATCATTTCAAGAAAATGTCTCCCTTGCTTGATTTACTTAACTTCAATACTCACCGGCAGTTCTGAAGGTTCAGGTAGAAACTCTGCATCTTCTCCAAAAATAAAATCTGGGGGCAGTTCCGGATAGTGGGCATTAAATATAATATCCCCTGGGGGTGAAAAAAAAAGATGAAATCAGATTATCTTAATGACTCACAGAGTGAAAATCTTTTTCTGCTCTGTAAAATGCCTTTTGACTTTGGAAACGGAAATTGGGTATAATCTGGTGTTCAGGAGCATGTTTTTCATGCTGTAATGACAGAATTCTACTTTTTTTTTTAAAAAAAAAAATTAAAAGTTATTTCATGCTGCTACAAAAAAAGTGATGGACATGACTTAATAATCTTTTAAAAAAATACATGAAAATGAAATCATATGAAAGAGCATTGAAAATTGTGTTTCGAGGATAAGTGCTTTAGGAAATGGATGAATGGTTTTTGACATGGAAAACAAACACCCAATTAAGGTCATAACACGAGTATGACATAAAGGTCTTACTTAATAAAACATTTGTCTTTTCCACATGACAAGGATTTGAGCCCGAGGTCCTTTTGATTGAAGCACCTAAATTAATGAGCCAACTTGACATTTTCAAGTGAAGACATTCGGTCATCGTTGTGGAAATAATGTGCATCATACATACAAAAATAGTAAACCTGGACTGGACAAATTATGTGAATCAAGTTCCAAGTGCTACATTCATGCGCTCAAAATGTTGAACCGATTTGCCAGATGGCTTGATCTCTGCTACCAAATGAGGCCATCGTGTTATGATCACATAACGTGTTGATAAAGCGGGATTGCAATGTTCCGATATGTTGCACAATTCTATTTATGTGGCCCAAAATTATTCAGTTCTGCTTTTTTTTTTTTCCTTTGGTCACTCTGCCGCCAGCAGGAAGAGACAAACATAAATGTATAGATGGAAATTTCCAGTGGAGAGGACTCAAACAAACAAGAGGATGTGTTGTAAGCTACTGGTGGTCAGCCAGAAATACAGCAGAAATAAAAACCCGACTCACCCCTGTCCGATTGCCAGTTGTCGTTAGTTTTGGTGAAGTTTTTTTCACCTTAAATGTGACCTATAACATGTACAAGTCAATGTGGGGTGGGGTGGGGGGGGTTATGTTTGAGCAGTTGAAAATGTGGTTGCACATATGTGCACACCCTCATAAGTGGGGTTGTGGCTGTGTTCAGAATTGATCACGTTAAATGGAGGGCAGTGCACACCTTCCACCATTAAAGTGCCTCTATTAATACCAAATGGATTTCAGATTTTCTAGTAGGCTTTTCAAGTATCAAGTACAACTTTATTGTCAAATGTGCTGTAGCACAGATGATATTTCCTCCCTCTGAAACAGACAACAAGAGGACCCGCTGCGGGTGCCCGCGCCTCTATTTTTGTGGCTAGTGGTGTGTTTGCTCTAAACTACCTTTGAGAATTATGGTCAAAACGTTTAGTCTTGGTTTCACTGGACCACAAATCATTTTCCCACAAGCTTGAAGAGTTTTAAGTGTGAATGGGTTGAGAAGACTTTCTTTGGAAGATAAAGGCTTCCATTTGGCTACCGTACCCCACCACAACTCTGACATGCAGTGTGAAGAAGACGGGAGAAAGTTGTCACATGTACTAAACAGCAAGTACTTTCCAGAAATTCCTGCAGGTCGGTCAGTTTACTGTCAGTCGCTTGGCAGCCTCCTGGACCAGTTTTCATCTCATCTTTTCATCAATTTTGGTGGCAAGTCCAGCTTCTGGTAATGTCAGTGTTTTCGTGCCATATTTTCTCCACTTGATGATGACTGTCTTTACTTTGTTCCATTGTATAGTGTAATGCCTTGCAAATTATTTTGTACCCTTCTCCTTACTGATCCCTTAAAACAATGTGAACCCTCTAATGCTGTGGAAAGTTCTCTGGCGACTGCTACTTGAGGTGTAAGAAAGGCTACAAAAATGTCAGGGAAAACCCAACTAGAACATCTGAACTTTAATCGGGGTTACTCTAGGGCACTTTCAACGGTGGCTGGTGTGTCCTGGCTCCCATTAAATGTGCTTGGATGTGATCGGTCTCGTCTGAACATGGCCACATCCACATTTAGAAGACGGTCAAACCACATGATCTCAGTTGCTGTTGTTAGGTTTTTTTTTTGGAGTTGTACGGGTTATACATCACAATGATGGTGGAAATCGTTTTGAATCGGTTGAACTTCCTCCGATTTTTTTTTTTTTTTAAATATCACAAAACCTGTCATTGAACAGCGATGTGTAGACTTATTGACCGCTGGCATGGATGCAGGGGTCACAGAGGGTGTCCGAGCTGCAACCTCTGCAGGTTACGCAATCGCTTCCATGGAGTACATTATCCTTCCATACATTTTCTCTACCCCTTATCCCAGCTGACTTTGGCTGAAAGGAGAGAGACACTGCAATACACAGGGTCTTACTATACACGAGAGGAAAAGCCACAAAGTGTTGTTTATTTGTACTGGGCAAAGCGGTGGCGCGGAGGGTGGCTGGGTTTGAATTAATGATGCTTAGATCTGTGCAGAGTGTACCAGGCTTTGGCACGCGAGAAGGGGGACGGTCCATAAACTGGCAGACACCAACCTGCAGCCCTGCATCCTTGATTAAACAAACATTCATCCTCAGGCCAAAGCACAGGAAAGTACAACAGCTGCAGAGTTTTCACGTGCCACGAAGGAATGCCAATGGCCTGTTTTTTGTTTACTTGCGAGTTGCAGTCTCAAAGTCTCCAAGAATGAAAGAACCCTTCTAAAACCACCATGACAATAAAAAAAAAAAAAAAAAAAAAAAAAAGAGTTTCGATTGCAAATTTCTGTCAAACTATGAATAAGGCACATGATATTTTCTTAGATAACGTGACCAAAATCAAGTTTACTCTTTGCTGTGATTTTAACCCCCGAGGATCGTATTTTTCCGGATGGCATTGTAAGCGATGATTTCATAATCATAATCTTTTGTCAGCAGTGTAGAGTAAAATTCTCTTGAGGGAGGCATAGAAAAAATGAAGGTAAGTTTTATTTTATTTATTAAGATAATGTGCAGCGAGTCATGTCTGTTGAAAATATAACATAATTCTTCCTATGTTGCGATTAAGGATACAAAGCCAAATCAAACAATTTAATGCAAAATCCAGGGTGAATTGGGTGATATGGCTAAAAAGTAACATCAAAGTGCAGCAGCTGACCTGGGAAGGAGTTCAGAGCCAGACTTTTCTCTTTAGCTAATCATCGACAATCATTTGAATTGCAAGCACATACAAATACCGGATGACATTTTTTCATCTATACACTCTCCTCAAATGGTATCAAAACAGCAAGGCCGATTTTTTTATTGTTCTCTGCAATAAAAACATTTCGCACTTCAAAAGATAAATATGACACCGTTTCAGCTTTTATTCCCAGGTTGTCATAGCTGAATCTGATACACTTAAAAGACAGCATTACTTGTAATGAAACACCACATTTTTGATGCAACAAAAGTGTTGGAATAAATTTGAAATGTCTTAAACTGACTAAAAGACATTTTATTTTGTCGCAAAGCAACTGTACTAAGCCAACCGGCATTAACGGCATTTATCTGTGGTGATTCTTTTCCACAGCTCTTTCAGTTATAGTTGGTTTTGGGTGTTACTTCCTTCTGTCTCCTAGGTAGCAGACAAAATGCACCCACGAAAGATTTTCAGTCAAGAGATCGACTTGCAGATGTAAACATTCCACTTATTTCCCTGATGAAGTGTTTTGGGTCATTATTTTTCCGGATAATGAAGGATCTCTCATTAAATGCGGTTAAAGCTTTTCTTTGAAAACTTATTAGGTGTCTGGATTCTCCCAAAATACTTTCGCTATTGCCATGTGTCATGAATCATCCTACGGGCCATTCGTGTGTCAAATAACATTCATGAGCCCATCCTAGAAGTCATGCAAGCCTATGCCACAACATTCCTTGAACTGCTTTTCACAAATGAGCTTGTTGTTTGAGATAATGAGCAGATTTTTCAAAAACGTTAGCCTTCCCATCACTCTGATAAAGATTCGTCTTTATGTTATCAGTCTGAAAAACCTCTAGCCTAGTCTTATAATACTTGCAAATGAGTGGGTTTTGCATTTTGTAGTTGAGCATATGTTCATGGCCTTCATTCCTGTTCTTGATGCCAATGTCACAACCAGTTATTTCGGGGGATTTATCGATAGTTCTTAAAATTGTTCAGAGATGCCAACCCCTATCATCACCTCTTAGGAGCATTCTGGATATTCCTTTTGTGTTAACGATACTTGTCATAAGTGTCGCTTATTAACCGCTATGGAAGCAATGATTAGTGACATTTTGAGGAGCGGCTGCGGTTCAGCCTCCACGCGAGCCAGCTAGCTGCAAAGCTACTTTTGTACAGGGATTCTTGGTTTTGCTGTTCGGTGCTTTCTACCGTCTTTATTACCGATTTGCTTTGCTGTTTGTTGTATATGTTAAATTGCTCCATGTACAGCACTTTGTATGCAGCGATGGCTGTTTGAAAGTGCTCTATAAATACAGTTGAGTTGAGTTGAGTTGAGGATAAGATGCGATGCCATCAACAAACGTTATCACGACTGATTTGCTGGAAGAGTCCAAATCTTATGTCAGCTAATCACAAGACGCAGTACAGTGCTTTACGGACTAATTTGCAAACACCAAGTTAATCTACTGTGCATGTCGCCTCATGAGCTTCATAACATGTTTGACCTCCCAGTCCAGCCAAACCAAACACTTGTCATCTCTGGTTTGTACACCGGAGAAAATTCCCAAAAATTATGGCTAGAGCCTCAACGACATGGGATTTTGCGGGCGGATGCCAAAACCAAAACTGGGGGCTAAACTAAGCCGAGATTGGTCGATATATGAATTAAGAACAGTGAGAGTGTATAATAGCAGGGCACGCGCTCCCCATTTGCAACCTCACCGATGATAAAGTGAAAGAGTGGCGAGGTAAACATTGGCAAGCGGACAAATTGTCTGCCAAAGTTGCACTGGGGGAACCCGGCTATCAAGCATGAACATAAATAAATAAATAAAATACATCCGGGTGCAAATTGCATACAGTCATCTCACAATCCTCTATGCGGCCAATGACGCACCTGATTGGTTACAGTATGATCACAACATTGCTTGTCAACGGCACATTGTTTACATCTGCCAGTGAGCGCATGCTAGCGAGTGTTAGCGAGATAGCACTTCTGTTACAAATCCCAAAATGGATGAAAACGTGAATATTGTTGTCGTGTTCTGCCCCAAAAACCAAGTACAGTACGGTGATCCAAGTGGCATAAAATACTGTAGTTGAATTACGCCCCTCCTGTGTTGGGGTAAAAAATAAATCAACAAAAAAAGGATGGCGCGGTGAGCCAACAATTTAATCAGGAGTCAGGAAACAAACCTCAAATGAAATCTTAGTGGTTTGGTACTTTCACTGGCTTCCATACTACGAGGAATACACTACGTTTTTCCTTAAAGTCTGTGAAAAAGAAAGTTCATCAAACGCTTTCATGAAAGGGCAGCTGGCTTGGGTCGCGGATGGACTGCACAAAAGTACTGAAGACGACAGGAAGTACCATATGTTTCACAAAACGTTTCATTTAATTTTCATGTATGGACACATTTCCCGCAAATACATCTGTGACGGCCTTCATTTCATCTGTGGCGATTCAACCCAATTTTCACTTCCTTCTAAAATATTAACTTGGCCCATTCCTACCACTGATATGTTTAGTTAGCCCTCAAGCTATTTCCACAACTTCCTATTCTCTAATCGATACCAGGAGCAATTTACTTTGTGGTACGATACTGCAACTGCAGTGTCCCAAATGACTGAGGTAACAACCGTATTGATGTTTAAAGTTTGGGAATTTATTTTAGTGGTATCAGTTCAAACAGTACCCATCCACCTCGCTAACCACCAGGCGTAATGGACACCCTGTCACTTACACAGTCTACTCTGTGCTCCTTTTGTTGTCTTGGTGTGTGTTTTGGCTTAGAAACTCCACTCCAAACTTACGTATAGTCATCAGGGTCTTCTAAGTTTGGTATTACGCTGCAAAAATACATTTACAGGAAGCGAACGGAACACACGCATGGCGAGTGAGACGCCCTGCCCCCCCAACGCATATTTCAAAGAGTGCAACTCCCTTAACGGCTAAATACAAGTATGACAATAACTGTGCGGAACAAAGCATGTCTTGCGTTTGAAACAATTGTCCGGTAGGCTCACACAATGTTGAATATGCCAATGATGACAACACAATGCACATTCCCTTTGGGCCACACAAAGATATATTTTTGCAACTAGTACTTAATGTGACGACCTTGCTTCATAATACTCTCAGTGCCTTCAGAGATACATCACTAAGATAGGATAAGGAAACCTTTATTTGTCTCACAATGGAGAAATTCGCAAGTATACAGTATAAGACTGCTGTACATTGGCTGTGTCCCGTTTCAATTCCTCCTGCCATACAGGAATTGCGAATCATCTATTCACAAGTGCTTCATTCAAATATGAAATTCAACAAATGTATTTTTTTGCTATTGCATACTGTATTTTGAAAGCAGCAACATTGTTTCAAAAACTTAAGTTTTATCTTAACTCGCTGGTCAGCCCCACAAATCCTTATCGTGTAAAGCCTATTGGAGATAATTGATGGAAATATGCGCAGTACTGAACTGTCAATTTTTCACAACTTCAGCTTTCCTGATTTTTTTGAGACGCAAGACACAGTTTTGAGTCGGGCATGGGTCGACCCTCTTTCGATATAAAATAACTTTAGGGCCTTCGTTTGCACCCATGGCTATCTGGTGCAACTGTCAAGTGCAGTGAGCTAGCGAGCTACGCCTACACCCCGAAAATGCATCTTTTCTTCAGATATAGCCGCTTTATAGGACCTCAGTGTGGGATGCGAGTGTGTGTTCTTCATGCAGAGAAAAGCAAAAGAAGAAAAAGAAGTCTTTATTGATCCCATAGCAAAGAAGAGCATGGAGAGGGGCTTTAACTTAACAGACACTGTATGGATCGGGGCTTCAGCTAGCGTGGCCGATTTAGAACTCTGATGTCTGCTGTGAGTGTGAGCGTGTCACAAAGAGAGGGTAAAGAGTGAGGAGGGTGCTTTTTGTTTTTGTTTTTTTTTTAAATAAAGTCTGTGAAACACAGCATCAGGTGGAACAAGGCTTCGAGCTGGTGTGGCCGCTTTAGAAAGCTTCATCATCACAACACAGAAAAACATTGCGACGACTCGTTCTTAGAATCATTTAAATTTTGCAGCATTGTAACAACACTCTTCTCTGTGTTGTGTCAAATTTAGAAGACGTGTATTTCACTTTAAAGGGACTTTAAACGTTGCATATGTCTTTGTTTATCTCACAAATATGCAATACACAACATTAAAACACTAATATGTGCTGTAAAATTTAGGTGGGGGAAAAAAAATTGAATGCTAACCCTGATGTGCCCTAACAGCCTGTTTCCACAAGAACATGACTGCCATGTGGCACTCAAGTGCAGTATTCTATTATCTTACAAAATTACAGCTTTCCGTGGAGTTAAAAAAAAAATAAAAGCAATTTTTCTCACATTTGTCCTTTCCTCTGCTGCAGATGAGTGAGTGTTAGTGGTTTTGCAAGTGTGCTGTGATTCACTGGGCTGTTTGAGCAGAGGGGGGAGGGGCCAGACGCTCAGGTAGAGAGTGCAGCACAGCACAGACACACAGGAAGCAGGGAGACAAAGTCTCCGCAGAGCAGAAAAGTTAATAAGTTACATATTGACCGATTTATCAGCAGGCCGATTAATTGATTGGACTCCAGTTATGGCCAACGCTCAGATGTTAATGTTGTGCACACCTATTCCTATTACAAGTGCTGCCTTCACAAGCAAAATAGGCTTAAAAAACAAAAAACATGCAATTAGGTGAATTCACAATATCCATAACACAAAATATGCTGGGTCCAATGCAAATTAAACTGCGTTTTCTGAGCACATTGGAGCATTTACACCTAGGTTGTACAATTTCCGACTTGATCTAAATTGGGAAAAAAAAAACGTCTCTAATGTTGTAGTAAGTCCTCAGTGTGCCTGGTTCGGGTGAAACGCATCAAAATTACCGTGACGTTTCAAACGGTGTCACTTGCCATGAAAACTCCTCTTAAAAAGCGCAACCAGAACATAATTTGTGCCAAGAGCAGCATGGTCAGTGGAATAAGTTGTGTACTTTCATGATCAATTGTTATTCCATGAATATATTTGTTCTGGACAATTTTAGATCTGTTTAAAGTGCTCATTCCATGAGTCTTAGAAAATTCCACAAAGATGGCAGCCACGAAACAAACATCTGCTTCCCCAATGCATCCCTTTATATTTACACCAAAGAGGGTTACAAATCACTCAGTATCACGGGACGTTGAGAAGACTTCTAGATATGGTTGTTTTTAGGGCAAAATTTTGCACCTGTAATGTTTTCTCCAGCTGATTTTCTCTTGAGCATTTTTGCAATCATAAATGTGTGTGCAAAAATACTCTTCACACATAAATTACTTAGGTGTGGCGCACAATTGAAACACCAATCCTGATTGTGCCTTGTAGTGAAAATGCTAAAGATCTAATTAGTCCAATGCCAAAAGATTGATCCATAAAATGTTGGTGGTATGACCAGAAATGTAACTACAAACTGTCATGCATGACACATTGAATTAAATAAAACTCAGAGAAGAAGTATGGTCAGTTTTCCTCACTTACATTTCAGGGTTTCTCCAGCATAGGGGATGTGAAGTTTGAAGCGATCGCAGCAAGGACCTGGGGTCAAAGATGTACATCTGAAAAGGCAAAATAATTCAAAATATAAAAGGACTGTGAGAAAGTGCAAACAACTTACAGTCTGAGCTCTTTTGTATTGACTGGTTTGTTGAAACAATTTAATTTGGTTTAAGTAAACATAGTTAAAATATAAAATGACTTAATCATCACTTTGCATATTATTGTAAAGGAAATATCAATAGAATGGATGTAGTGACAACATATCAGCAGTGATGGCTTGAAGAATGTTAATATCGACTTCAATTTCAGAAGAACGTTTAAGGCATAATTCTACTTTTAAAAAGGAAAAACGAGGTTCAACTTGGTAACAACAGTATGTATTTAATTTTTAAAAATAATACACATGTTGATATGCGCCTCAAAAACCATTGTCACCTGAATTCTCATTATTATCAGACCTGTGTGCAAAACGAACAACCTCACCCAGTTTTGAGGTCTGTCACTCGGAGGCAATTTGTGGAGTCCAGTCCCACACGGCCATTCCGCACTACACTGCACAGCAAGGGTCGCAACTCCGGTGAAATCCTGTGCAGTGCAACTTCCGGGGACACGTTGTTCATTTTATCTACCCTGACAAATCAGAAAATGATCAAAAAAAAATTAAAAAGGATGGTTGGTCTGATTTGATTTCAATATATGTGAAATTAGAGACAATATTCTTGAGAGCTACAATATTTATTTATTGGTGCCATGGAAATGTTTCAAGACACCAGAATAATTTCTGTCAAGGATTTAATTTGTAAGATCATGATAAGACTCCAGACACTGTCCCGATCTGGTCACATATCAATGAACTTTGACAATATGGCAACGGTTTAAGATACAACCGCTAATCTACATCTACAAGGGTGTCCATAAAGTCTGAGTTAATCGTAAAAAAAAAACAAATACTTCTGAAAACAATACAATTGTATTAAATTGTAATGTTTATAAAAAATATTTCCAACGTGACTTCCATAATTTTCAATGCATAATTTGATTCGCTTTGCAAAATTCAAGTGAACTCGATGGAATAGGTCTGCATCGCTGTCGATTTCGGCACAGTCTGGTCAAACGTTCTCTCGTGTCGTTTGAAACTGTATTATTCATCGAGTACACTTTCTCTTTTAGCATACCCCAGAAACAGAAGTCAAGGGAAGAAAAGTCTGGTGAGCGAGGGGACCACTCCAATCTCCTACGTACTCAGACTTTGTTGACACCCTTCAGTATATTTTTGAGGAATTCAAAGTATTATTCGGCATTTTAAATCATTAACATTTAAACGATTACATTTATCGGTACATAATATACATTCATTGCTGTTAATTTAAATATGGTACTGTGCAAATTATAATACCTGGAAAAGATGACAATTAAATAACTAAAATTTCGACTCGAGCGTTTAGTTCATACTCCATTACTTCCGGGTACATGTTGTTTAGGTCCTTTAGAAGGACCTAATTTAGTGGTCTACCATAATGCCCGTTTAAACAATGTATAATAAAATTCCAATATACAAATGTGTACAATGATATACGTTTTTGACTCTGATAATTAGAGATATTGTATGTTTTAAGGATTTATGTACATCACTTTAAATTATGTGCTTGTTAGATGTGAAATAATACTAGTCAGGCATTAGTTTCCTCGTTGTCCCTGTCCAGCAGCGCTGAGGGAGCGATGTGCTTTGCCCTGCTTCATTTAGAAAACAGAAAAGGTAAACATGTTGAGTGTCTGAATGATTACGTTATTATTGTCATCGTTTTAATTACACCGTATCCATAATATTTCTGAAGTTGTAGCCCGACTACTGGCATTTACGTTGGATTAGGCATGATAACCTTTTCCATTATTATATAAAGGATTTACTGCATGCACGGTCCACTTAATCGGAAATCATCTGATGTTTATTCCGGTAACAACATATTTTAAATTGACTATAAACTTTACAATGAACAATCTTTTAAGTGAACGACGTTAAAATCACAATATTAGATGACGGTTTTCATTGAACAAGTGAGCGAACAGTGATATAACTTTAGGTTGCAGGACAATATCACAGTGCCGCTCTCGGTGCATTTCAATTTAAAGTTGTAATGATGAAGTAATTGTTATTTAAAAATAATTACAATAATAATAACAACTCGGTCGTGGTCTTCGTTTTTCGTTAAAATGGCTTCCATGCAGTATTGTATCACTCACTCCCAAACATGAAAGTTCAAGTTAATGTTTAAAAACACATACAAAAAGAAGAAAAATCGTTTGTACTGTTTCAGCGTCAGACCAGTGTGCCTTCTACATTTTGTACACATTCTGTCACAAATCCAAGTGACAACGACTTTCTTATGTTTATAATACCATTGTGGCCATAATGTCATACTGGTGATAATATTTGTTTTGGTATTGCCTTAAGGAAAAATCAATGCACACCCCTTTCTATGCATGTATATTGCAGACAAAACCAAGCCTACACGAGCTTCAAAATTGACACAGCTCAAAGCTGTGAGCAGTTTATGGCTCCAGTGTTCCATATTTTAGTCAACGGGAAGTTTTGAAAATGTTAGCCGTTGGTCTAAATTTATCCAACAGCTTACAGAACAAACAAAAGTGTCATATTCTTGTAATGCCGAATAAGATGTGGGCAAAAAAATTACAAGGACTGTCTTGTTTTGTTTTTCCATTCTTGATGAATGTAAACGTTTTCATCCTAGTTTGTAATGAGAGTAATCTACGAAATCTTGGGGGATTCAAATACTATTTCTTAAAATGGTTGTTTTGTTTGTTTGGATTTATTCATTTGGCAGAGATGCCGATTTAGCCTGCGGATGAGTGAACCCCCGATGCATTTTAGATGAAGCTGGTCAGCTTTGACAGATCAGTATGTACTTTCGCAAATAATACCTTTTTTAAATGATTGGACTGTGAATATCTGAGGATATTCTCCTGCAGTAGAATCACTGGCTGCTTATAACATTTACTTTGCTTGCATGCAGATGAAAGACAATATGTTGTGAAATGTGGAAAAGAGAGAGGGAAGTAAAGCATCCCACAGCCAGCGGCCAGGCTTTCCAAGTCCTCCACCGCCGAGGAAGAGATTTGAAGAGATTAACACGAATAGCATTAGCTCTGATACAAGCTGAGGATTGAATTAATTAAAGACTTTGCTCGGCTGTTGTGTGTTCACGTCGTCTAGTATGGAAGCTGCAGAGCCCCCTCCCCACCCCCTGCCCCGCACAAACACACACACGCACACACACATGCTCATACACCACCAATATGTGACTGGATCCAATCCAACTCAGCCAATGATGAAGGCTCTATTTATACCTTATTCGTTGTCTGGTCCATGCTCATGCTCATGTAAGAAATAAACCATCTAGCACTTCAGGTTTGGAGGACGTTGAGCCACTTATTTGCTCATTTTACCCAAAATATCCCCTCATTAGTCTACTAAAAAAACAACAACAACAAAAAGGAGAGTTGGAAAGGGATTTTTAAAATCCTGAATCTGTTATCGAAAGTACATCGTCTTATTATTCAGAAATGAAACATTTGATTTGCTTGAAATGGTTATGGCCTGAATAACACAAGTGTGTCTTATCAGGTCATGACTGAAGAAGCCTTTGACGTGATAGTGGTTGGTTCTTGCATGACTGACTTGGTCAGGTAAGTAAACCCAGCCCTAGAATTAACTGAAAGATTACTGGCTATCGTTGAATGTCTCAAATTGCAAAATTATATGTACTTCCTTGAATTTGTACTCAGATGAAGAATAGTGTTGAAGGAAGGACCATATTGGTTCAACTGCCATTCCTGTTGTTGATGTTCTTTCTTCACAAACTGTATCCGCTATTACTTGTTGCATGAAGCTCATCAAAGAGTAAAAAAAAAAAATCAAAACTGAAAATATGGTGTTACCTAGACTTACAGATTTATTTTATCTCAACTAGATTGACTAGTACAGTACATGAAATAAAAATTACTCATGAATTGATTTGCAACAAATCTGTTCCACCACCCCCCCAAAAAAAAGAAAAAAAGCACTGTTGTAAATTATAAAATACAAAACCGTAATTCAACACTGCAACATCCAAAATAGTCTCTCATAATTATGCTGCTCTAGGTTGACAGAATCACGAATGTCCAAATATTTTAAATGTAGGATTTTTTTCACAAAGCGATATTAATGTTCCCCATGTGATCTGTTATTTATTATTATTATTATTTTATTTTATTTTTTTACAAATTACTCATCAATCTAAAAATAGCTTGAGAATCTATTAACTATTGTTGGGGGGAGAGTGGCCTTTCTCTTCCTCCGCATGTTCGTTAATTTCGGATGATGAGGATGTTGGTTATCCAAATACAGGCTGGAGACGATGACCAGTACCTCCGAAGGTTTTATTTTTCTTTTCTGCAGTTTACGAATCGATTCGGGCTCCTGAGAGTTTCAGATTTTGTCAGGAAGCCCAGAAAAAATACAGTCATGAGAATATATAGAGACAATATGATAATGAGAGGCCGTGAGTTACGCCTCCATGCAAATCCTTGGAAACAAAGAAAGGTTGATGCAATCCGATTTTGGCATGTTGGGAAAGTCCAGACCTCTCCCGCTGTGCGTAAATCTTGAGATAAGAGTCCCTCCCCGGGGTAACTTGACAGCCTTCAGGGACTCTCCCGAGGTGGGGGTCAAGGGGCACTAAAGGTGATTGTAATCACAGTAAGCAGGAAATACCTTCAACAGCATTCTACATTCTTTGTTTCAGGTGTTTGAACAGAACCAACAGAGAGGGGCTAAAAAAAAATCACAGTAAGGAATAGATTCCTTAATACCATCTTGGACACCTCAAATGTCTGAGAAATGTCATATAACTAACTACCTAGTCTTGACTCTGCGGGAGCCTGACAGAATTATATACTTTATATATACACATATTGTATCACTTCTTTTTTGATTTCCTGAAAAGTAGTGAGTCACAGATGCTTTGATTATGCCTAACAGCTACAAAATCTTGTATATTTTTATTCTTTATCTTTATTTGAAGATGCGTAACTGTGTTTATTTCTTTTGAGTTCGCCTGTTGCACTGATGTAGTACACCACCCAAATTTTGTGGTACACTGTGCAGTGACAATACAGATTCTAATTCTACTTTTCAATAAAATATAAAAGAATTGAAGAAATAAACTGGTTTCGTCAAGTATCATTCAGCCAAAAGTCGCATGCACACATTGTAGTACATTTGTGTGTACCTTTAAGAGGTGTGGCCTAGTGAGTCACATCAGAAGCAACAGTCATTCCACTCGGCCGCTTAACACGTAGTTAGTTCAATGAGACCATCTGCTCCATGGAAGTGTTTTCATTTTGTAACTTGACTTGACTTGACTTGTGTGTTTGAACTGTTAATCCCGTTCAAGAACCGTCTGAAAATCTATTTTGACTGTGGTTCTCCTTTTTTTAGGTTGCATGCAAATTAAATCATGGTTTAGGGTGGAGAGGTCACACTGTGTCCTCGCAAAGGAGCTGCAATGTTGGTTTGATGGGATTCAGGACAGGCTTTCGTGGTAGTCCATACCAAAGCCATGCATTTATGGCTCTTGCTTTGTGAGCTGGTGCTGTTGCCAGTATAAGTGTGTTGTAGGCTATATATCTTAATTAAAATGGTAACATCCCAAAACTTCCTTCATGCAAGAGTAAAACAATAATAGCAATATTAGGTGTAAAAAGAACGTGTGTACTCGACCTTTGTACTCACAACAAAGGTGGTTGCGAATTTCCCCATTGTGAGACAAAGGTTTTCTTATTATTTTTGTTACTGTTATGATGAGGGAGCAAGAGTACAAGTCCTTAACTGTGTATTTTGATTCATCCATCCATGACACAAAACCGCTCATTTTTCACATTTTTAAATGTGTATACAATGATATCATCATTGTATTTTACAATAAACAATTACAGAATTCGATTGTACAAAAACAAAAGCATATCAAGTCGTCAAGTTATATTGTCATGACTTGATTTGATATGCTTTTTTTAATTTTTTTTTTTTTATCAGGTTTTATATCAGGTGCAATTCAAAGTCCCAACTGTCAAGTGACAGAAGCACCGAGTGTTTAGAACCTGTTCAAATGATTGTTTATTAATAACAATAACCACAATTGCCCATCAGCAATTTTATTTTTGACTTGGTTTGTCAGCTTATGGAAAAGATTAGCTGGAGTGTATTTTCTATCATGGCTTGTAACTGTCTCCACAAAAATAGAGGAAGTAGTTTAAATTTAGTGACTACTTCTGGATTTTCATAGCTTGTCCTAAAAGCCTGCAACGTTAATCAATAACATATTTCAGCTTGGCAACCTTCGGGCTATAGATTAATAATAATTGTCAGCAGAGATCTACTTCTGAACAGTTCCCTTTATGTCTTTATAGAAGAAGTTAAT